GTATGGTCATTTGCGCGTTGGCCACGGATATATGACGACATTGACATAATTCAGCGAATTAAAAGACAGCGGCTACGCTGGCTAGGTCATGCTGTTCGAATGGACGAAAACACTTTAGCTCTGAAAGTAGTTGACGCTGTACCCGCCGGGGGAAGCAGACAAAGAGAAAGACGTCCACTCCGTTGGAAGGACCAGGTGGAGAAGGACCTGGCTACGATTAGTATAGCCAATTGGCGCAACGTAGCGAAAAGAAGAAACGACTAGCGCGTTGTTGTTAACTCGGCTATAATCGCGTAAGCGGTGTCTACACCAATTAAGGCGAAGTAACAGTCACAAAATCGATTACATTTCATTATTCAGAGATGTTTTTATACTTGAATGAATTATGTCGATAACAAATATTAAATTTTCGATAACATAGCCAAAAAAAAACACATAATTATCAATAAGAATAAAAATATATGTTTACTTTGTTTGAAAATATTTATGAAATAAATGTAAAATTTATTTAATTTTAAAAGTTTCGTGTTTGAGTTGCTTACAAAATATAAAAAAACAACAATCGATTAATATATATGATGATCTCTGTTACATCAAGCGACATCCTTTAAAACATAAATATTACTTTTTTAAATATTATATTAAACTAATATAAACGAAGTAATTTTATATTAAACATTAAATTAAAATGTTAAAGTTTATTTTATATAAACTCACCCTAATAATGTTGTTTTATATGCTCACCATAATTGTCTACTATAATGTAACGAAATGAATTCTACTTACCCCTTTTCTATAATACATACTTACGCGTCCCGTTAGTTTAAGCCGTTAGGTTAAGGTTTAGGCTAAGTCATAAAATTCCTGAAATAAAGAATTCAATTGTTGATTTAGAGCAATCGGGGGCGGTCGTTATTTTGGCACAGGCAATTTTAGTTTTCGCGCATTCCCAAGTAAGTAACTGTTCTCAAAAAAGCTTGAGAGTTTTTTCAATCTCTATTCAGCATATTCAAAATGGCAGACTAGTTCTTTTTGGTTTTGTGAGCTGCAAACTAACAGGCCTCAAATTTTAGGCAGCATTTTGAGACTAATGTATGGAATACAATGCTCGCGACAGACTGCAAACGACATCTATCAAATATTAGAATACACACGTTCTAATGGACGGACCTACATATTTTGACAGCTGCACGACTACACGACTGCTGGCCGACAGTTGTCAGTTCTCGCTAACTTCAATTTGATCCTATATTTGCCAACGACAGTAGGACGACAGTAGAGTTGACAGTAGAATRTAAGATAGAGAGATGAGGTAGAGTGGTGATGCCACTAATACGTGAAATGTAAAATTACTCAAAGCTCTAACAAACCTGACGTTATTTTACAAATAAAAGCAAAAATAGCTCTGTTACATCATTTATAATAACAATTGATAATTTAAAACAAATAAATTTACTTATTTACTTATTTTTTGCTTAAAAATTTCACTTTGAACAAAATATTAAAATTTCATTGAAGTGCAAGGTATTAGTATGGCCACAACGAAATTGTGTACATGCAAAATGGACAACTGCGTTGTTTTGTGTACATGCCGGCCATTGTTGTGTTGCTGCCCTCTCACAAACGTTCATCTAGTAGGATTCAAAGCGCCATTTTCCATTCACTGTCGTGCTGCTGCAGTTTGTCGCGAGCGTTGTATTCCAGACATAACGCTAGAGACTGTTTAGGGAATAGTAACTGATCACAAATTGAGATTTTACCTCAAAATGTCTCAAATAGAGACTGGTTACAGAATCCCGCTATAAGTCGACGATTTTGTGGTTACTTACTCTACATGTGCTAGTCGGATATTAATTGTACTTTCCAATGCATATATGMATATCATCTTTGAACTAAATCAAATCAAAAAGATAGTTTTTAATCATAATTTTACAATGAAGTCTTCTCGTTTATCTTTTATTATATATATCCAAAAGGCAGACAATAACTTAACAACATTTTTTTGTTTTTATTTCGAAATTAATTAATTAATSATTTACAGTAAATAAAACAAAATAATTTCGAAAAATTTCAGTTGGGCGTGTTCATACTTTCAATTCAATATTGTATCATCTAATTCTTCATCTTTATCAATAGCTTKTACAGCGACCTTACGCAAGACTTTGTTCACAACTTCATTTAAGGAATCCCTTGCACCAACTTCTAAAAGTTGACAAATATAACTAAAAGTAGTATCGTTTTCACGGAGATGTAAAATTGAAACTAAAGCTATCTCGGAATTAGACTTTACATAACCATTTTTTTCTTTGGTACCGTTAACTAGCATTGGTACGAGCTGTTTAATAACATCTGGGCTGATCTTATCTATAGCTAACGTTTTTGCCAAGTAATTACAACTTTTGGCAACAATCTGTTTTATTTCGTTGCTTTTGTGATTCATAGCCCTTGTAAAGCATGAAACTATTATTGGAGAGAACATAATATTATTCGACATATAAAAGTGCAACAAGCACGTCATTGCGCGAACACCACTGCTTGCAATATTTATTTTATCTGATGTAATACTGGAAGTAATAAATTCAATCAACTTGGACTCATATTTCGAAATAATAATCGTAGAAGGACTTTCTTTTAATGCCACAAACAAAACTGCGGTTCGTCCGTGTTTTAATAGTCCGTCACCATTTCCAGCAACGAAGATATGAAGCTCTAATAAATCTTCTACTTGTTGAATTGATAAATATTTCAGAAGTGCTCCTAAACAACCTGCAGAAGCAGATCGAGTAATGTCTTCTGAATGTCCTATCATATTCAGAAGAGTAGCGCTTAATTGTTGTTTTAAAGATTCAGACATTTTTCCTCCARCCAAATTAATACTTAAACGTATTGCCGCCAACATAGTTTCTCGCAMGGACGGATCGTCATTAGACTTTATCCCATTATGAATTTCATTAAAAATCGAATCAGGCCGTGAATGTATGATACCCAATTCGGATATTGCTTGTCCAGCTTTCATGCGAACACTTYTATTCGAGTCATGTAAAGCCTTCAGAAATGTTGTTTGCAACTGTGGTAAAAATTGTTTCAACATGACTCCAACTTTTCTCAATAAAATAGCTAACGTTTCCAGTACAGCTGCTTTGACACCTGCATTAAAACGATCTCCTAGAATTCGAATTAGCGGCCCAGTTATTTGAACAACAGATGGCTGTAAAGACTGAGCACTTGTTAGAGAAATAATTTCACCTAATCCTTCAGCAGCATTTTCTTTAACATCTGGCATTCCATTTAAAATTGCTTCTCGAAACACGGGAAGTAGAGGTGTAATTCCTTTTGGAAGGCAAAAGCCAGGCATCTCGGCACCTCTAATTTCGCTCGAAGCAAATCGAACAGCTTGTCTTACGTCACACACTAGAGAAATTTGTTGGGTTGAATCCAAAGTTTTCACAACTGAGTTTAACGCATCCCATGAATTTTGTAAAATGTCGCGATTAGAATCAGCCATTAGGCGTAATAAACAGCGCAACAATTGTGGAACATATTGAGAATAATCTCCTGGAGTGTGTGTACAGAATACAAAAAAGTAAACTCGACGCCGATTTTCTTATGTTTATGCTATCAGATTTTGCTGACATCATTAGAGTGTCGACAATTGTTCGAACGTCGATTTCGTCTGTAACTGACAGTATTACTGCTTGACAATAATCTAATTCTTGGTACTCATAGGCAGTGCCTTGTGCATCAGAAAGTGCGTGTAGTAAAGCATCTAAAATTTTTGGAAGATACTTTGTTAATGCATTCCCCGCCACAGAAACTAAGATGAAAAGGACTTTTGTATTTACAGGAGGTGCTGTTAGTTGGGGAACAAGATATGGCAATACCACTCGTGATTTAATTGTCATGACTTGGCGAAGGCCATCTAATATATACTTCGCAACGGTTGGATCAGGGTCGTTCAACCCCTCAAACATTGAAGGTAGAATATCGTCTAAAGCACGTGAGCCAACAGTTGAATGTAAAGATTCAGAAGTTTTTGCCACCGCTCCTCTCAGCTCAGGTAAAGGATCCGATAAAGCTCTTCTTACTGTTGGAACTAGACTGTTAACAAACGACAATACCATTTCTTTAAAAGTTGAGGACATTATTTCCAACAGGCCAATGCAGACTCCTTGGGTCTTATTTCGGGAAGTACTCTCTCTCCCAATTTTCTCACCAAATCTCCTAACGTTCGCGCAGCAACTTGACGTTTATCATAGCTAGTGCTTGACAAACATCCTAAAAGTAAACTAAATAATGCAGGCAAAATTTCTCTTAGTGGGCGTGGTGTGTTTGTTACTACAACTTTCCAAACATGTAGTGATGTTTGATAATTCGGGTGGTGGAGCACGGTGCTCGTTCGTTCCATAGTTGTGGTTGGCCGTGGGGAAACGGTCGGCGCAATTTATTCCACAAATGTTAAATAAAAAACAAAAGGTTTCTTATAATAAATGTATTTTACAAATAATAAATTGGACAAACACTTACCACGTCTGGATCGGTGAGCSGTC